TCTTTTCTCTCAATACCAAACTTGTTGAAAGAGTTGTCTATTTTCAGTTTCATTTCCTTACCTCCTCCTCACTCCTCAAGCTTCTGTCTCTAACCTTGCCTTTGAAACTGTCCTTACCAAAATCATTAATGACCTTACTTTGCAAAATCCAATGTGCAATTTTTAGAATTAGCTTTTTTGGCCCTTTGACAACAATGGACACTGCTGACCAACCCCCTCTTTGAAACACTCCTTCCCATTCCATGACAGCATTCTCTCCTGTTTTCCTTCTCTCTGGTCACACCTTCTCAGTCTCCTTCTACAAGTCTCTTAAATATTGGTGTGTTTCAGGATTTGGGACTTGGCTCTTTGCTTTTTTTATATAGTCTCCCTGGGCAAGCTTATCTATTTCCATTGCCTCAATTTCTAATTATATGCTAATGATGGCTCAAGTATATATTTACAGTCTCTCCTTAGCTTCAGCCTTGTACATCCAACATGCTGTTGGACATTTCCTCTTGGATGTCCCACAGTATGTCAAACACAGTAAGTCTAAAACTGAACTTACTATTCCCCTCACCTCCAAACCTGCTAGTCCCTATCTTAATGAGTAGTATTGCCATCCATCTACTTTCCCATATCAGAAATCTGGGCCTCAGCCTTCTCTCCTTCATCTTCATTCCCAACACCCAATCAATGTCTAGGTCCTTTGGATTTTACTCCATTTATATCTCTTGATTCCAAACACGTTTCTCCATCCCCATGACTACTATCCCATCCAGGCCACCTTCGTTTCTCATCCAGATGTTTTAACAGCTTCCTAACGGGGCTTCCTGCCTATAGGTTTGCTTCTCTCCAACACTTTTCCCACATGGCAAACAGATAGATTTTTCTAAAATGCAAATCTGAATGTGTCACTCCTCCATTTGAAACCCTTCAATAACCACAACTTATTATCTTGAGGATCTCAGGTTTTATGGTGGACTAAAGCTACCTTTCACTGCAATACAACTAGACTCTGAATAAAAGTCACCTCATTCCCTCCTCCAAAAAAGTATTCCCTCCTCCAAAAAAGTAAGCAGATGTTAAGAGAAACGCTGCTTAAATACTTAGCTTTGGGCCAGTGGTGAAGTGGGAGAGCTAATCCTGGGCCTCTGATACTGAGCTAGGATCCTTGAGAGGTGTGCTAGGGTATTCCAGGTCAGAAGCGGCCCTTGACTACTGGCAGAAACAAAAAAATAAGCTAATCCCCTCTAGAGGGAAGCTTCTCCAGTTTAGCCCCACAGAATTCCCATAGATCAAAACAAAATAGTGAGCTCACAATTAAAAATCAACAAGCACATGGAAGGCAAGCACCATGAGAGACAGCAGAAACAATAAACAACAGATTTAAAGCCCCAAAGACTACAAACATTAGAATAGTCTAGATAAAGAATACAGAAGAACTATACATTAAATGTTTAAAGAAATAAAAGGCATAATCACAAGAATACATTAATAATATTTAAAAGAGACAGATTTAGGGGAAAAAAGAAACTTGTAAAAATGTAAAACAGTTTTTGAAATAAAGAACTCAATGCGGGGCCGGCCCCGTGGCTTAGCAGTTAAGTGCGCGTGCTCTGCTACTGGCAGCCTGGGTTCGGACCCCGAGCGCGCAACGACGCACCGCTTCTCCGGCCATGCTGAGGTGGCGTCCCACGTACAGCAACTAGAAGGATGTGCAACTACGACATACAACTATCTACTGGGGCTTTGGGGAAAAAAAAGGAGGAGGATTGGCAATAGATGTTAGCTCAGAGCCGGTCTTCCTTAGCAAAAAGAGCAGGATTAGCATGGATGTTAGCTCAGGGCTGATCTTCCTCACCAAAAAAAAAAAAAAAAAAAAACTCAGTGAATAGGTTAAAAAGCAGATTAGAGTCAGATAAAGAGAGAATCAGACACTTGGAAGATATATATCTGAAGAAATTGCCCAGAATTCTGCAAGAGACAAAGAGATAATTATGACAGACAAGGTAAGAGGTATGGAAAATAAAATATCTAACATACTTCTAATTGTAGAATCCCAAAGCAAAAAGATAGAGAGACAAAAGACACGCACTCTTTGAGGGATAATGACTATAAAATTTCTACAAATGAACATTAATCTGCAGATCCAAGAAGTACAATATATCTAGATTAAATCAAAAGAAATACATGTTACGGAGCCAGTCTACAAGACAGCCCCCAATGATCCTCACCTCTTGGTATTCATAACCCTTGTGTAGTGGCCTCCCAAACTGTACCAGGGTTCGTCTGTGTGAGCAATAAAATATGACAGAAGTGACAGCATATCACTTCCAAGATTAGGTTATAGGAGACACTATGGCCTCCATCTTGGTTGTTCTCTCTTGGATCACTTGTTCTGGGGAAAGTAAGCTGCCACATCATGAGCAGCTGTAAGGAGAAGTCCTCACAATGAGAAACTGAGGCAATCCCATGAGTGAGCCATTTTGAGCAGATCCTCAAGCCCTGGTCAAGCTTTCAGATGACTGCAGCCCCAGCCAACAGTTTGACTACAACTTCTTAAGAGACCGTGAGCCAGAACCACCCAGATAAGCAGACCCCAGAGTCCTGACCCTCAGAAACACTGTATGAGACAACAAATACTTAAGCTGCTAAATTTTAGGGTAATTTTTACACAGGGATAGATAACTAATACACATGCTAAGACCAGTTTTCTTTTCTTGCTGAGGAAGATTCGCCCTGAGCTAACACCTGTGCAATCTTCCTCTATTTTGTATATGGGTTGCCGCCACAGCATGGCCGCTGCTGACTGGCGTAGGTCTGTGCCCAGAAAACAAACCTGGGCTGCCAAAGTGGAATGCACCAAACTTAACCACTAGGCCATGGGGCCAGCCCCAAGACCAAACAGTTTTGAACGACTCACAAGAAGTCTTCTCCATCTGGTCCAGACTGTCTCTCCAGCCTCACTTCTTGCTACACTCTTTCCACCTTATTACATTTCAAACACACCAAACTTTTAGTTTCTGGAATGCATCATGTTCTCTCCCACCTCCAGCCCTCTGTACAGCTCCCATGATGCACCCCCTGCCTGACACATTCAACACCTTCTCCTCTCCTCCCAGTGCATATACTCCTTTGGCTAACTTCCCCCCTTCATTAGAGCACTCATCACCTTATATGATAAAGTCTTGTTAAACTGTATGTCCTTCCATTAGACTGCGGGCTCCAAAAAGGCAGAGACAGTATCTGTCTCCTTCATTATTATGCCAGCACAGTTCCTAGCACAAAGAAGGTACTCAGTAAATATTTGTCCCTTACAGCCCATAGGATAGGGACAGGCAGGAGGCTAAAGGTGGAAGAATGTAAACATTCTCAGGAATGATCCAAATGAATCTTCAGCCTAGCAACTGACATAACTACAAAGGAACCAAGAAACCCCTAGATTCCACACAACCTCAGGTTTAGGGAAGGCTTGGGGTAGGGTCAAGACTCAAAAGTTGGAAGGGTTCCAGCTCCTCCTAAGTCAAGCCCCCTTGCTGTGGTTTCCTTATGATCCTTGAACTGAAATCTACGAACATCGGACACACCCATTCTTGAAAGCATACTTACAATTGTACTCAAAGGACAAATAGAAATGATTTTTTAAAAAATTATCATCAGTTCTATATTTGTAGGACAATTCCAGCCTATTATGTTGATATTTAAGATCTGATCATAAATAGTATTTGCAGTGTGCACCTAAATATGAACATATACATACAGATATGTACAGATATACATCTCATAAAATATTAATCACTAGTACCCTCTACTGGTGGAAATACCTTACGGGCTCATATGTATGGTCTTATTGCCCTCTAGTGACCACCACCTATAAAGAGAAAAATTCAGCAGCAGATGGGAGAATCTCCTTGGCTATAATGATAGGGTTTTATGTTCTTTAAGCATCTAATTTTCTCAGATTCTGGTTTATATTACAGGGGTGCAACTCTCAAGACTCTTGGGGGGCCCTCTGGGGGATTTCACACAGCTCTTGCCAGCTGTTAGCGCCAGTCTGAAGCTGCTTCCTCTCCTGCTTCTCATGAACAAGAGGTCAAGGGGAGGCCGAGAAGGCAATGGCTGCACTAGTGAGGGCAAGAACAGCAGCTGTGAACGACTACCCTGGACTCCCCAGGGAGCTGGGAGCAGCTTGAGGAACACATGTTGGCCCTCCCTCGCATATTATTCACAGTTGCGTACTGTACTAAAATGGCAATTCAACATAGTCCCTGACTTACCTTTTAAATATGCTATAATAAATGATGCAGCAGCAAATGTTGCTATCACTTTGTTTTTATAAACCACGCTTTGCAAGTCATTTCTACTCGGGACAGAAAAGCCAAGTCTTTTTCAAGATTTAACTGAAATGTCGCCTCTTCTATAAAGCCTTTTCTGAATTCCGCAGAGGTAAGTGCCTGGTCTGTCCTTTGTGCCAGCATATTCCTTGTAGAGATCAGAACGATACCCAGGACATTATTTATATGTTTTTATTTATAACCTATAAAATTTTAACAGCTCCCAGTTGCCTACATGCCCGTGTCTTCACCAAACCCTAAGTTCCTTGAGGTCACAAACCAAGTCTTATTCATTTTTGCACACTCAGCATCAAGCACACTCAAAATGTTACCCCTAGATCACTGCCGGTTACCAGTCCATGAGGTAAGTACAGAAACTGGAGTAAGCGTTTAGAAACTTTTATAGCAATTTGACAGAGTAATTCTCTATCTGTTGAATCTAATAAAAAAAAGTGGGGCTTACATTTTATATATTTTAATTTCATTTTTCTGGTAATTTTTATTATATATTATGGAAGTATTGGTCAGCAACAAATGGAGAATTTTTTTAAAGAATGGTCCTTCACCACAGGTAGTTTGAGAAGCACTGATATGACAGATAACTTAATGTTTGAGGGAAGGAGGAAAGGAAGAAGGAAAGAGACAAAATATAAGCACTTTCCATAAAACTCAGAAGCAACATACCTATCCTTGTTGATTTTAACACTTCCCTGGAGGGGATTTTCTTCTTTAATTCTCGTAAGGCTTCCACTAAATTCTCTTTGGTTTGATCAGGAAGCTCCAACATAGTTTTCCATCTTTTTATGTCTTCTATAACCACAACTCTCTGGGAAAAACAAAAGTCATTTGGAAAATGGAACATTTTCATTAGAAAGACATCTGCCTTCACCTGAGCTAATGGGGCTCCTATTGACATATGAATTATTGATTACGGCCTGAACCAAGCACCGTTTGTGTGATAGCCCCAAATGATGGGTAATTGCTTAAAAGCAGGTCCTGCTCACTGCAAATCAGAAGCAAGTTACCTCTATTAGGAAAAGTGCAAGTTTTAATCTTACCATGTCAGACACCACCGGGCACTTAACAGTGAGAGGAAACAAGGATGACAAGAGAAGAAAAACGATAGTGAGGTGAATCAACCCCATAGCTCACTCAAGCGTCTTAATTCACAGGCGAGGACAGAGAGCAGAGAAGTCATAAAGACATATTTATTTCAACAATAAAAGGCACACTTCAACAGCTTCCCAATTCCTAGATGATAAAACTCAAACTGTCTCGTTTGAAGAATTTTTTTAAAATTCAAACACATAAAAAGGTACAAAGTAACTCACTGTTCATAATGAAAAGAAGTTAACATTTTTCCCTTTCACATAAAATAACAAAACACTGTAAAGTTTAAGTCACCTTACACCCTTCACCAACCTCATTCCTCTCCCATTCCTAGAAGAAATTACTATCTTAAAGTTGATATGCATCTTTCCATTAAGGTAAAATATTAACAATTAAGGAATCTGGGTGAAGGAGATAGAGAAGTTCTTTGTACTGTGTTGCAACTTTTCTGTAGTTTTGAAATTATTTCAACTAAGAATTTTAAAAAAAGGTAAACTGGGAGGCAAAATAATAAAGTTGCTTTTATAATTACAAAAAAATCTTGTCTTGGATGATTATTACCCTGGGGAGGTGGGCCCAGTTAGGGACTGAAAGGGGGCACAGGAGGCTTCTGGGATTCTGGTAATGTTCTGTTTCTTGATACACATACTGGTGACACAGGTGTGTTCACTTCATGAAAATCTGTCATGATGTACACTCATCATTTGTCCACTTTCTATACGCATGGGATAGTTCAATAAAAAGTAACCAAAAAAAAAAAGTCTCAACCTCCGCCCCTGGCTGGGGTCTGCTTCCAGGCTAGCAGCCCATGATGGGAGGAGGGGATGGATGTCTGACTCCTCTATTTTCCCACCTTTGCTTCTCCTCCTCCCCCATCTGCTTGTTTGTTTTGGTCCCTGACCCTGCCAGGTCAGAAGCTGGGAAAAGAAGGCAAGGTAGGGACAGGAAAAGCCTTACCTTCTGTTGTGATACTATGCTAATCGGGTTCTAGTGCTCTCTAGACTTGGCAGGTATGTAAAGCCAACTCCTTTTCTCTCATGAGGTGCTTTTGTGGTTCCTTAGAGAGCTCCCATTGTTGAGATCTCACCTGCAGTTCCCAGGACGTGGGCAATGCCTCTTCCAGCTGCTTACAACTCCACCCTAAGGCCCCGGTTTTTGGCAACCCAGTTCACACAGACTCTCTCTGTAGGGGTCCCATTACCCTTCCAAGCACCCTTGTGAACCTAGCCCCTTTAATTCAACTCCAGGCCAGCCAGTATTTTCTCCGCTATGCCCACATCTCTGCCCTGAAAACTTCTGAAGGTAACTGCCTTCCCAACGCAGCCACTTCTCCTTCTGGCATCAGTCGGCCACTCTTCATGTTTTTACTTTCCCAGGCACGGGTCTGGTCTCTGTGTCCACCAACTCCAGGAACTGAGGTCAAGTTCTCCAAGTGAAAACACTATAGCCCTCCTACTTTATCCAAAGGACTTCTTTCTCCTCTCTTCCTTTAACTACAACCTTCTTCACAGCCTAAGGTAGTGACGGGTTCAGGATTCCACAATTGGTCTTCATGTACTGCCTTCACAAGTTCTGATAGATGGTCTAGAATCTCATTTGGGAGCACCATTTGGTAACTATTCCTTTGTTCCTAGCCTTTAGAGGCCTTAGCCAAAATTGAGACAAAGTCTTTTTTTATGATCTGTTACAATATAAAATAGTATTATTGAAGTTAAATGGTATGAAAAATAAATAAATGAAGCCAGGTAACGGGATATTTTCAATTGGAAGAAGTTGTAAAGTGTAAATATCATATAATTCTGCAACTTGCTTTTTTCACTCATATTTCCTTGATTTATTCATACTGATATGTACAAACCCGTTGATCCACTTTAATAGTATTGGATAGTATTCCATTATTTTTATATACAGATGTCTTAGAATTTTAAAATCAATTCCCTTAATGGATATTTAGGGTTCCCCCACCCCAATATTTTTCCTGTTATAAACATTGCTTTGATGAACTCCTGCCTATGACATGTTCATATACTGTCTTCCATCCCTTTACTTTCAACTTTTCTGGGTCATCATGCTTTAAATAGCCCATGGCTGCTTTATTTTGCACCCCCTCTCCCATTCAATCTGAGAATTTCTATCTTTTAACAAGCATGTTTAATCCATTTTCATTTATTATGACTATTAATATAACTGGACATACTTTCTCTTTGCTTCTTTTTATTTTCCTTTCTTAACTTCTGTTAAACAGCCTGAGTTTTCTTTAGTCTTGTTTTTTCTTTATGGTGTGGAAGTCATACATTCTATTTCTATCACTTTAGTGTTCACTCTGACAATTTTTAAGATGTATGCTCAATGAAATCTAGACCACTCTCCTCCTCACAAGCCTCTACTTCAGAAACCCCTATTAGAAATACACACGGCTTCCCTGTCCATCCTTCATGTCCCTTAACTGTTCTTTCATATTTCTTTCTATTTCTCTGTGACGCATTCTAAGTGATTCCTCACATCTAGCTTCCAATTCACTATTTCTCTCTGTAGCTATGGCTTGTCTACTTTTAACCTGTTCCATGTGTTTCTGTGTCACCAAATATATTTTCTCATTGGACAAGTTCTGTTTTTTTCCCCTCTAAATCTGCCCATTTTCTTTTCATACTATCCTGTTCTTTTCTTATAGTTTCTATTCCTGCTTTATCTCTGTGAAGATTTTAAATAAGATCTCTTTCAGAATGTTCTCTTATCTCTACTTTTTGGGGTAGAAACTATTACTTATATCTATCTGCTCATTCTCCTTCCTGGTAATTTATCTTTTTGTAGAATTTGTAATTTTTGACCATGAGTTCATCTTTAATGGAGACTGTTGTCCACGGGAGTCCTGTGTGCCGTAGGTTGTGAGGTGTCTTAACAGGCAAATCTCACATGTGCCCTTGCCAAAGTCTCTGGATTTCCCTGGTTCTGGCCCAGTGTTTACGTCAATTTTTTTTAGCTTTGCAGACAGTGTGAATTTAAACTATATATATGTATATCTCATAGTAATAAATGTGGGGTTCTAATTTATTATAGTCAACTCTTTTTCCAGGGCCGGCTCCGTGGCTTAGCGGTTGAGTGCGCGCGCTCTGATGCTGGCGGCCCGGGTTCGGATCCCGGGCGTGCCCCGAGGCACCACTTCTCCGTCCAACGCGAGACCGAGTCCCACGTACAGCAACTAGAAGGATGTGAACCTATGACATACAACTATCTACTGGGGCTTTGGGGGGAAAAAATGAATAAATAAAATCTTTAAAAAAAAAAAAAAAAAACTCTTTTTCCATCCAAAACCCTGAGAAAATTACAATCTTCACGCTGTTTCCTTGGACTAGTGGATGGAATTTTTTACTTCCTTTTTCATAAACATGGTATCCCTGTTTTGGCTTGCAGCTCCATGTAGGAGCTATTAGCCTGGCCTTATCTGCAGTCCCCATATTGGCCCTAAAACCCCAAACCTTACTAAGCACTATATCTGGTCTCCAGAGAACTACTCCACCTCAGCTCCTATTTACAGCTGTGGGTTAGGATTTGCTCTCTCACCCTGGTACCTAAGGATTTCTCTTTCTTGCTTGCAAGCTCAGCTCTGTATTGGAGACTTTTTATCCATGGTTGAATGTGGTTAGGGGCTCACATCAGATCACTCCAGCATATGGAACTACAGAAGCCCAAACTCTTCAGCATGGCATAAAAGGCCTTACATGACTTGGCACCTGACACCCTTTTCAGCCTCATCATTTGCTCCAGATACACCGAACTATTTGAAGCTGCCTAAATGTATCACAGTACTTCACACCCTCTGCCTGAGATGCTCTTTCTTTGCCACAACCACGTGATAAACACTTATTTATTTTTTAAGACTCTCTTCAAGCACCTCCTCCTCTATGAAGCCTTTCTTGCCTCTCTCCTACCACATTTGACCATACTCCCTTTAGGGTCGCCCTGTCATCTGTATAGACTTCTACTACCGCATCTGTACTTTCTGCGTATACTTATCTACAAGGCTGTCTTCCCACTAGACTATGAGCAACTTGAGGGCCAGAACAATTTCTCATTTGTCTCTCTATCCTCAGTGCACAGTAGGTGTAATTGAGCAAAGCTATTTCTATCCTCAAAGACTAAGTACAGTTCAGTTTTCAGATCTGAAATTTGAGAGCAGAAATAGAAAAATATAGCAGTCGGTTCCAGAGCAGAAGAATTCCATGTACATCAAAGAATGTTTCCTTATATCTGTCCAAATATGGGCCCCAAAACAGATATTTCAAGTTCTCATCTGAATTATTTAGACGAACAAGGGAAGTGGACACGAAATATCAATGGGGAAGCAACAATGAGTAGTGGAACAGTTATCTCCACAAAGAAGACGTGCTCTCCAGTATACCATCTGGTCTTACAGTTGTGGATGGTTGAAATATCAAGTTTGACAAAACCAATTAGGGAAAATGATTCACTCATAAGCAATAACGTGGGCACCATTCCACTGGTGGTGGCAAAGGATAAGATATTTGCTAGTCAATCCTACAAAGGGAGGAAAGGTTTATAGAGCATTCTAAAGTGCTGAAACTAAAAGAATTAACATATTCTAGAATCTTTTAATAAAAAAATCTCCTATTGCAACCAACAGAAGATATCATTTTCCCTCAAGGGAATAAGAAGAGATTAACCAAATTAACCTTTACCTTTCAAATGTACACTACA